GTCTTAACAGAATATAACTTCAAAATAAATAAAAATGTCACAAATAATTGTGATCAAGACACTACTTCCTGTTAAAAAATAAAAATGAAATTAATTTATTCATTTTCTATGAAACTTTATTAAAACTCTAAAAGTAATCAGATATAACCTAAAACTGTCACAGCTAATCATCTAAAGACTGTCATTTACAGATATTTAGCTAAAATGCGATAAGGAAGTAGCTGAGAGTTATCCACAACACAGAAGCATTTGAAACCTTGGCATGCAGTGTTTTAAGTGACATTCAAGCTTTCCAGAAATGCTACTTTGATTAATGATGAAACTATCTAGTTGTGTTTAGTTAGTGAGAATGTATCTTTAGGACCAATTAGACCACACTTATTTTTACCAACCCTATTAAAATTAAAAACTACTTAATATCCTGTCTCTGAAGAAGCCAGAAGAAGTTGCTAAATGTTACTACAATTAAACACGTCCATGTCAACATTGCATTCATTCTTATTAAAGACAACATTTGAGTTTCTTTTGTCTTTTCCATATTTATGAGTGAGCTTCTCAGTGATTACTCACTTTTCTCTGTGTGCGCTGCAGCCTGGCATGTTAACAAGCGATACGGTTCAATCACATTAAGGGTCATTATGGCTGAACGCGCCTGAGGGGGAAGTGCATGTCTCCATGTCAATAAACTGAAGACAGAGTGAGTGAGCGGCATTAAAATCTTTGTCGACCCCTCTCTGGTGTGAAATTTTGTGTTTGGTAATAAAACTAAAAAGCTTTTTTTCTCCCCTAAAGGTTTTACTACTTCCATCAAAACACTTAGAAATCTATTACTATTGACATGTCCTTTAAAGTTATTGGATGGAAAATGTAAATGTATTAGGAAATACTCTCAAACATTCAGCTGCGGTTGTTTTTTATGTATATACGTATACACACCATACAGTCTAAAGACAGTAACTGAATTTAGAGCATTACACAAAGTTATTAAGCTGAACCAAAAAAGTGACTAAAACCAAAAATAACTTCCTGTTTTTATCACAAAATTTACATAAACTTAAATATATTTTCTTTCATCCAGTGTTCATGGTCAAATTTAATTAAAACTCCTTTTGAAAAACATCAAAGATTAAAATTAGCAAACAACAGTCTAAAGACATGCAAAAACCACAGATTTTTTTTTCTTTCAGAAGTACTTTAGTAACACTGCTTCTTCCAGGGTGGCAGAAAATGTCACACTTGCCTCCAACAAGGCCAAAAGATCCATTAGGAAGAAAATTTATTGATGTTAAGAGTTCAGAACAGAAAGAATAAATGCCATCAACATTAATCAAAATGTTGAGGGGATTTAAAAACCCCTCTGTCTGCTGCAGCCCAATTTAAAAAGGTGCTGTGCATTCAGCAGCACGATCAGAGGTGTCGGCGCTCTCTCCTGCAGTTACTCAATGAGTCACCAGGGCCATAGGTTGCAAACATTCAAAAATTGCTTTATGATTGTGCACCAAGAGGCATTTTCAGACTGCTGAACAGGAAAGTGGTAAATTGAAAACAGCTTTGAGTGCTTTTGGTCCATAACAATTATCAAATGTGAACATCTCAGCAAGGGTTTGATCCTSTCGGATAAAACCAAGAAAATGTTGACGTTAAAAGCACAAAAATCCTCCGTCTGAACAGCAAAACCACGAGCAGAGTTCGATTCACCACAGAGCATTTTGCAGTTGAAAAGACGTCTGAACCTCAAGTGTGTGCACAAGTCAAGGTTTGAAAATGAAAGATCTTTAGACGGCTAAATCGAACTTTAGACTGTAGCAAGGATCGACTCCCTGTCTGAAGTATAAATTCTCCTAACATCAGAAAAACAGTGTCTCTGAAGGATCCAGCAGGACTTTCATTAAACACTGGAGTCTTTTAGATTGCAAACAAGTACTGGAATCTAGCAGTGATGACAAATGCATGAACTGCCTTGAGTCCATTCATCATAATCAGCCTGTTATGGCTACGACCAGAGCCTGTTCATGAAAACAGAGAAGGGGAATCAAGGAAATGTTTTCTCTAAAGTTACTGTTTGAACTATGAAAGTCTGTTCAATATAAATACTCAAAAGCTTTGGTGTGTTAAAAGCAAACTTTCATTTTTTCATGTTTTCTCATAGTATCACCACCTGAGTCAAATGGACTTTGTTGGTTCATACACAGAATTGTAAGAGAGGGTCAAAGCCAAAGCTCTCAATTTACTGGTCTGTCTACATTCCAAACCCTCACCTGTGGTCATGAGGCGTGGATTGTGACCGAAAAAAAACAAGATCCTGATTCAAGCAGCCAAAATGGCCCTTCATCGTAGTGTGGCCGGGCTCAGCCTTAGAGATAGGGTGAGGAGCTCCGTCATCTGGGGGGAGCTCGGAGTGGAGCCACTGCTCCTCCACATCGAAAGGAGTCAGATGAGGAGGTTCATCTGATTAGGATGCCTCCTCGACGCCTCCCTTTAGAGGTCTCCTGGGCACATCCCACTGATAGGAGGCCCTTGGGAAGACCCAGGACGAGCTGGAGGGATTATACATCCTCTCTGGCTTGGGAACGCCTCAGGGTCCCCCAGGAAGACACAAGAGAAAGTGTCACTGGGGAGAGGGACYTCTAGGTTTCTCTTCTAGACCTGTTGCCTTTGTGACCCGACCAAGGATAAGCTGCAGAAAATGAAGATGGAGATGTCTGTTGCTAATTTATCAGTTTRGTCTAAATCCTGCCCATGGGCAGCATCCTGGAATTGCTGCTCAGGTTCGCTAAGCAACAATTGTTGAACCTCCATGATTAATCTGGTAGAATGCCTGACGTCCCACAATCTAACAGGACCACAAAGGCACCATGGTGGGACTGAAACAGAAGCAACCAGGAGGCATCGCAGTTATGGAAATCTGAACTTTTAAGCCCACAAACAGAAAGCGATGTGAGCTCCATTGACCCACGAAGTCTGCACAGGTACTGACTAAATTTTGTCTTTAAGGAGGTTCATTTCACTTGAAGTCCAGGTGCCTTCACCTGCCGAGGTTCACTAATAGCTAATAAATCTAATCATGCCTGGCCTTTATACAATACAGGACCCTTTATGTGTTTTCATGCAACAATATGAGTTTCAGTTTAGAATCGCCACAACACAGCCTGTACACTCTGACATCTCTATGATAAGTTACAAGAAATTGTGTTTCGTTTCAGATTCTTGACATTATCTATGTGTCTCTGTCAACTGAACTGTATGAACTTCATTGCCAAATGATACAGTGAAAWAAGTTTTTGCACATTTAGACTGAAACAAAAATCAGTATGTTCTCTTTGACAGTCTTGGCTGAATGATTCACATTTATTTTGGTTTGTGCTGTTTATGTTAGGTTTTAAAAAGGACTAAATTCCTAGAGATGAATGTAGACTAAATTTAGCCTGGGCTGTTCAGAGTTTAATGAAGACTAAGACCAGACTCAATGTTGCTCTCTGCGGGGGCTGCTGCTGCCATCATCATTAACACCGAAGCAGGTCCAGAGTCTGAGCGATGGAGGTGAGAAAGGGATGCGCATCAACAGATGGCAAAAGACTAACGAGGGGCTGAACAGACCGAGCAGACGACCATCGGCCGTGACATGTTTTAGTAATAACCTGGAGTCTAAAAGCTCTACGACAAACCCGCAGATGAGTTCCACACTTTCTCACCGCAGTTCTAAAAGTACAACAAACGTTKATGAAGAGAAATGTCTACCTGGACAGGGGATATTTTTTGCCGACTGCAGCGTGGGGGTCCTGCTGCCGTATGGCCCGGATGGCAGTGGGTGCTGTAAACATYGAGGTGACGCCATGTTCGGACAGAACACGGAAGAATGCTCCGGGGTCCGGAGTCCCTACAGGCTTTCCCTACAATCAGTTGAAAACAACAACAGGTCAGTTTCCAATCTGCAGCAGAGGGCAGGTACTGATGTCAAAAAACGCTGAAACGTCGTACAAACAACAAACCACAGAGTAACAGGAGGAAATAACAAGCAGACAGGAAGTTTCATCAAGGAGGACATGAAATCCAGAACTCTGGAAAGGCCTAATATTCCTTCAAGAAGTGCATATGGCCTGCCAACTGTCATGCCAGCATTGATTAAAACCTGAGAAATGACGGTTATCTCAATTTTAGCTAAACCTTATGCAAAATACCATGCAATTTCCTACATAATCATGTGTGGTTATGCAGGAAAAATTAATTCAGAGGTTTTGAGATATTTTACTAACAGCCTGGATATATTGCAATGGTTTAAAATCAAAGTTTTAAACAAAGATCCTGTGTGATCAGTGCTCAGAGTAAGTGCAGGATCAGGAAACCAGATTTTTGCTTCATATAAATTTAAKTGAGGTATAATCATTTTTGAGCTTAAGATMGCTTWGCTGTGATGGCCATCTTGTATTYACTCCCAAAGTAGTAGATGTTCATTCAGTGATTACGTCCTAAACGTTTAATTAAAAACTGTTCATTGGTCTGTAGCATATTTTGCTAACAGTACAGTCATATGAACACACAGAAGCATGGGCAAAAACATAGTTCTGTGTTTGCCAGCAGACAGTAAAATTGGACTGCCCAGTTAAAGATCAGCCATGTAAAGGCCTTATCACACTATAACATTTTAGACAARTTATGCCAACTTATTAAGAGTTTGTCCAACAATAAATGTCTAAACTGAAAATGCAATTTAAGAAAATCTATGGGAAGCCTCTTTTGGACCTATACATTCTGTATTACTAACAATTAGATCAAATATGTAGCCTTTTTGAGTAAAATAGTCGTAACAAATTTCTCTAAAATGTTATAATGTGACTGGGTCTTAAACTACAACCTKAAAAAGCCTGATTTAATATTGAGACCGACAACATTTTCGGCAAATTAAAAGGGGGTATTATGTATTTTCCAGGCAGATAGTTAAGTTCTATACCACAATCAAGTGACTATGTTACCTTCTGTTTTTAGGAAAGTGRTGTAKAAATCAAAAATAAATTTGACWCTACATCATAGTCTATTTGAGCACCTTAAAATTGGCTTCCGTCTCTTTAAGAACCTCCTACRATTTCTGACACTCCCACTTCAGCACATTTTTACAACAATGCTTCTGGGGATGGATGTTCTCTAGGGCGGAGCTCTGTTGCAGACTGAGCTCCGGGGAGGAGCTTTGTACAAATAGGCGGAGCTTTGTACCATCAAGTGTTTAAGCCACTCCATGGCAACAGGTGATTCAAGGATTTTTCAAACATGCATGAATGAATGAAAGCAACACTGTGGAAAGACATAACACAATATAATGCTTTAAAAAAGTACATTTTGCATGATAGCCCCCCCTTTAAGTTCATTAATCACAATCAGTAATTCTGGTTGCCAATTTTCCCTTTTATTGACCTCAGTTTGATTTAATTGCAAGTCAAATGTCAAATATGCAATTATTTTTAAATTTGGACTAAACTAATTACATGATATTCAGTAATAGAAAGAAAACTGTCAATGTTTCATTTAGAGTCGAGGGTCTTGAGATTTGCAGAGTCAGTGAGTTGAAGTTTTTGGGAGTCATTGATGAAAAGCTGACGAGGAAATCTGACATAAATTATTTAAGAACAAAAATAGCCAAATCCATTGCAGTATTGTACAAAGTAAAGAAGTTATTTAATGATAAAGCACTATTTATA